AATCTAGTAAATTAATAATTTCTTATTTTGAACACAATTTCATAAATTTATTCTTTCTAAGGTATTTTTTAAAAATATTAACTCCACGCACTTTTGCCTCAACCTCACCTTACCTCACCTCACTCAAGAGATTTGTTGGAATATTGGCTATTGGTTTATTGGCATCCCAAAATTCATGTATGCTACCCATAAGGACAGATATCATCAAACAAATACCGGTTCACGAATGAACAATTCCAAATAAATCTTTTAGGTCTTGCACCTTAGGATCTCATCGCCCGTCTTGTTTTTTAGGGGAGATACATAGGGTACAATTTGTGATATCACATAGGCCATCACCGAAANCATCGCCCGTCTTGTTTTTTAGGGGAGATACATAGGGTACAATTTGTGATATCACATAGGCCATCACCGAAAATCACTACCATAATCAATCTCTCTTATGACTAATAGCTGCCTTGGCAACCCACTCAATAGGCCTCAATCGTCTACTAACCCTCTTCCTGTCAGTATCGAGCATACATTTTTTAAAAATCATTATTTTCTATATCCATAAATCATTTTGAAAACACAAGTCACAACCTTCACATTTTATCAAATATATAGTAGGCTCAAATATCAAAATTTATATTTTCAAAATANTGAAAACACAAGTCACAACCTTGACATTTTATCAAATATATAGTAGGCTCAAATATCAAAATTTATATTTTCAAAATAACATAACCATTTCCAAGAGAATAAATCATATATATTATGTACAAAATCATAGCATACTTCAAAACCCTCAAATTTTTAGTTTAATCAAATACTTATAACTAACATCAAAAGACTTGAAAAATTTTTAAAAAGCAAAAATTAATTTTTCACAATTAAAGCGCAAAAGTCTACTCTCATTCTCTTCAAGTAAAAAAATTTCATATAGCATAATTATGTATCTCTCTTGTAACCTAGATTAAATTGAAAAGGTACATATTTGTTTGATCAGTAATTTAATTTTTTAATATTTTTATTGATATGATTAATTTAATACAATTATTTTTTTTTATTATGAAAGTTTGGGAGGCGAACAAATCATCAATTCAAATCTTATACAATTTTTATTTATCAGGTGATATTGTGTTTAATTCTTATTGACTTTTATAAGATATTAGATTGTTCTCTTAGTATAATTATTTGTTATTTTAAAATATTCACAAGAATTTTTAGTTTGAAATATGTCAAGTTTTTTTAAAATTAAAAATCATATAATTCTACTTATGATCAACTATTGTATAAGAAAGATTGAATGGATTAGTCATATTATCCGTTGAAAAAATATACTAGCAGAATTCAAATATAAAAANATAAGAATTTTTAGTTTGAAATATGTCAAGTTTTTTTAAAATTAAAACTCATATAATTATACTTATGATCAACTATAGTATAAGAAAGATTGAATGGATTAGTCATATTATCCGTTGAAAAAATATACTAGCAGAATTCAAATATAAAAATGTGATTACTAATTTTGCATCACAAAAAATGAAAAAAAATAAAATTTTAATCTTACAATATATATTTTTTTTTAAAATTTTAATAGACCCCCATATAACTCCTTCGCTTAGGGCCCGAGTTTTTATTGTGNCATACAATATATATATTTTTTATAAATTTTAATAGACCCCCATATAACTCCTTCGCTTAGGGCCCGAGTTTTTATTGTGTTGGCCCTAGTGATCGCCATCAACATCACAACCATCATTGTTGTCGTCGTCAACAACACCACTGAACCCCTCGGTTCTCATCACCCTTGATGGTGGNTGTTGGCCCTAGTGATCGCCATCAACATCACAACCATCATTGTTGTCGTCGTCAACAACACCACTGAACCCCTCGGTTCTCATCACCCTTGATGGTGGGAGAAAAATCGTAAATATCCCAACCTACAATGGTGCCTTGCACAATTGACGCTATCTAGCCAAACTATACTTGTCTCATTAAATTTTTTGTTACATAACCAATTAACGACCTTAATTTCCTTTTATTATGAGATTGTAACTATAACTATTACTTGAATGAATACAATTTCATAAAAAAAGAAGTCGAAAAAATTGTGCAAGCAGATTAAATTATCCACTTTGCCCCTAATTTTTTGTTGGAGCAAGATATTCTTGTTTTACATTGAGAGAATTTGTTACCAACAACCAAAGTCTTGTTATGATTTAGGATTTAGCGAGGATATGCATCTTTGGGAAATTACATTCATTTTCCTTGAAGTTCTTTGTGAATCCATCTGACTTTCGTTCTTCTATTTCTTTGTTCTGAATTGTTCTTTGAATTCTTCAATCTTTTTTTCAATTTCATATATTTATTCATTCAATTCACAATCACAAACCATAAGAACTTCTATTGGAATCCAATATTACATATACATGTCTTTGTTTCATAACATAAACCAACTATTGATTCACCTTAGGTTTAAACCGATTCGAGAATCATTCGTCGAAACATCCACAAGAGTTGATGAAGAATGGTAACTTGGTATGGGTCCTATGCCCTACCCGGCCAGCGCAGTCCATTACATGAAATTCANCATTCGTCGAAACATCCACAAGAGTTGATGAAGAATGGTAACTTGGTATGGGTCCTATGCCCTACCCGGCCAGCGCAGTCCATTACATGAAATTCAGGGTATATGCAATATTTTTGGCCCGTGGCTTGTGCATGGCCAGACAAAAAATTGCCTGATACTATTTGGGGCCCCAAGAAGTCCAAGGAGATGTGGGACTTGGGTATTGGCCCATGAATGGAAACGGGCAAACAAAATGGTCCAATACTATTTTAGGCCCAAACATTCACTNTGCATGGCCAGACAAAAAATTGCCTGATACTATTTGGGGCCCCAAGAAGTCCAAGGAGATGTGGGACTTGGGTATTGGCCCATGAATGGAAACGGGCAAACAAAATGGTCCAATACTATTTTAGGCCCAAACATTCACTCGTGGGCTGGAATCATTATTTTGAATATAAATATTTAAAACTTATTTGCCCAAAAGTATATAACCACGGACACATTACAAATTGCCATATTTTCAGTGCCTTCCCTAGGCATCGACCACTAAGGCAGCTGCCTACGAACCCTATATATTTTATTCCCTTTAGTATATTAGACCTTTTTTTTTGTTTTTTTGAGTTTTAGGTAAGATCTAAATTTTTAGAGCCCCAAATTTTAAGATAATTTACAAAAATATTGTCTTAAGCTTAAAACTTCAACACTTTAATCACTATCAAAAAATTATAAAATTATATTCACTGATTCATACACAGTCTAAATAATATGTATTACATAATGTAACAACTATACATATAATTTTTAATGAATGATTAAAGTTATACATCATAATGTAACAATACAAAGTGACTTTCAGATAATTAATGGAGAGATTTTAAATTAAAATTTACAGTTAATAGAGAGGAAGAGAATTTTAAATGGGATCAATTATATACAACCGTAAGAAAAATATATTGTAGATGTGTGAGAGAAATTTTAGGATAAGGAAAGTAAAAGTGAGAGAGAGAGAGAGAGAGAGAGAGAGAGAGAGAGAGAGAGAGAGAGAGAGATTTTAAGAAAGGGAAAAAAGGTATTTAAAATTTAAATTTATTGTCCCATTAAAATACAAAATTTCTAATTCATTTTTTGGAGGATTGTGGTTTGTGTTTGATTGAAAATGAATAAAATTTGAAAAAGATTTGTTCAAATTTTAAAAAATTGAGTTTTGAAGCCTGGATTAATGGTCGGATTCTATAAAGAGAGCGAATAGAATCTGACAATTTTCAATGACAAGAGAAAACGAGTGTTCAGTTATCTCTACGAGTGTTTTTAGAAAAAACAAGAGAACTCCTCAAAATATTTTTACCCAAAGACTTCTTTAAAATACCCCTTAAATCATATTGGTTTTCATCTTACTGGGTCAAAAGTCATATAGAATTTGAAAGGGAAAGGGAAAGGGAAAGGGAAAGGGAAGCAGGAAGGAAAGAACTCTGGCGGGTGTGCTCTCTCTCTCTCTCTCATAAAGTGTCTACCACGAACCCTATCAGCCTAAATCAATTCCTAGTTGCTCCATTCAATTTCTCCACCTCGGAAATTGTAGAAATCGCGATTCCGATACAGAGGTATCAATTCGAAGCCCTTCTTTTTGTTTACAGGTATCAGCTTATTAGCTCCATTCAACATAGATTTATACTGATTTTATTCTAGGGCTTGAAATTGGTGCTTTTCTGTTTTGGGTATCTTTAATTGATTCAGGTTTTATTATGCAAAAACCCTTCATTTTATTTACAGGTATCAACTTATTAGCTCCATTCAACATAGATTTATACTGATTTTATTCTAGGGCTTGAAATTGTTGCTCTTCTGTTTTTGGGTATAATTAATTGATTTGGGTTTTATTATGCCTCTCCATACTGGAGTATACATGTTATCTAGAGCTTTTAATTTTGAGTTTATTTTGTTTTTGTTTGTATCGTGCTTTCATGTGTATAAGACCTTTTGTTTTGAGGTAATAATAAATAGGTTATGGGCAAGACATATTTCTAGATGTGGTATAAGTTTAATCTTGGTCTATCTATTGTATCAAGAACATCTTTTTTGTTTTTCTTGCTTTTAAGTACTCAGTTTGGAGCCATTAGCGCTTTAATTGTAGTTTTGAAATTGATTGAGCATTAGTGAATCCGGTAAAATATCCATCAGCTGTTGTGATGTTTAGTTTTTCTTTTGCTGCATCTGCTGGATAAACTAATGANTGTGGTATAAGTTTAATCTTGGTCTATCTATTGTATCAAGAACATCTTTTTTGTTTTTCTTGCTTTTAAGTACTCAGTTTGGAGCCATTAGCGCTTTAATTGTAGTTTTGAAATTGATTGAGCATTAGTGAATCTGGTAAAATATCCATCAGCTGTTGTGATGTTTAGTTTTTCTTTTGCTGCATCTGCTGGATAAACTAATGTAGTTCTGTTAGATGGTATGATTTATGGGCATAGGTATGATGCAATGTTTCGATATGTATATGGGCTGCACATGAATTCTCAAAAAGTTCTGGACACCAAACAAACCCTATTTATTCATTAGAGGAACTGTAGAGTGTAAACATTGACGATAGTTGTAAGTATGAACTAGGTTTCTTTTTGAAGTGGCAAAGTGTCTTCCGTTTCTGCATGTTTGCAGGGTCAGTATAAGGAACCATTCCTAAGTATCTAAACAAAATTCAGTTNTATGGGCTGCACATGAATTCTCAAAAAGTTCTGGACACCAAACAAACCCTATTTATTCATTAGAGGAACTGTAGAGTGTAAACATTGACGATAGTTGTAAGTATGAACTAGGTTTCTTTTTGAAGTGGCAAAGTGTCTTCCGTTTATGCATGTTTGCAGGGTCAGTATAAGGAACCATTCCTAAGTATCTAAACAAAATTCAGTTAAACAGGGTTGAGTGATATGGGCTTTTATCTGAAAAGTTTTCTTCATAGGGACATCTCTGTTCAATTCTTAACTCTTCTTTTCAATAACCATGCATGTAGATCATGGTTTTGGTGATATCAGAAAAGAAAAAAAAAATGTAGTCAGTTAAAAGAGTATCATGAAAGAATCGGCCAGCTTTCAAAGGAGCACACAGGGATGAGCTTTACTTTTTGACATGATTTGGATGCATATTACCTCACCTTTTTTATCCCATGTGGGTTTATGTCTCAAGAATGTTCTGTCACACTCTTCTCTGAAGTTTTTTCTGCACCTGGCATCTTACTTCACTGGATCTAGCAGCAATTCGATCTGCGTACAGTGTATGACCCTGAGGTGGCCTGGAGGTATTAGGAAGCCAACGTGGGATTTCTAACATAGGAATCTCTTGGAGGATTTGCACCAAAATTTTTATGAGTTGTATCTGTTGTCTATCACTTGAATATTGGAAGAATAGCTACATCTGTCATATTATTCTTTGTTGGCAGCAATTTAACTGCTGTGAGTACCGAACTCTGCGGTCATCAATAAGCATCTTCTTGTCAACTTTCAGGCATTTCTCATTGGCTCTATTTACTGTTGCTTTCTTCTGTTTGTGATCTTATATTCTGCTTATTTTTCAGTCTTGCCTATAGACCTGTCATCAAACCTTTAAGCAATGCAAGACCAGAGGATGCAGCTGCCAGATGAAGCTTCAGTTCCTAAACCACGAAAAAAGAAACCCTCAACTCAAACGGCTTCCAAGTTTCAAACACAAGGTGACAAGGTGAAAAGGGTTCAAGAAATTCAGCAGCCCCCGACAATTCAGAAGCGTCAGAAGAAGGCCACCAAAAGAGGCTTGATGAATCAAGTTCCCCAATTCCAACAACCAGAAAAATCGACCTCGGATTCATTGCCGGACTCATCTACAACTGGAAATGAATATCGGGCACTGAGACGGAGGTATTTGCTGCTAGAGGAAGAAAGTTGTGTAGTGGGGGGAGAGATGACAGAGGTTGAAGCCGAGATTAGGACTCTTGAAGGGGAGAAGCTTTCACTCTTGGACAAGCTTGTTGTGTTGGAAGGCCTGGTTGACCCTTCAGAATTTGAGCCCCAAAGGCCACGGTTAGCATAAGTCCCAAATTATTGTTGTCTGAATGATATGGTTAAATGGTTGAAGTACTCCATTACATTTTCTACCACTAGTTGGGTGCAAGTAAGTAAAACCATTGCAACTTTTCATGTCGTGTTGGGTGCAAGTGTTTTCAGAAGTCGAACGAATTTACAATATTTCAGCCTGTAAAATCAGTACATCAAAAGTGTAATTATTTACATTAGAAAATGATTGCTACAATGTACTCGTGTTACAAACGAAAACATTTCAAAGCTTGGGCCGCAGAATTGTAGTAACATCACCCTAAAAACTGGTAATTCCTTTCCAAAAAGTGATAATTTCACCTTAAAATGTTATAATTGTACCCAAAAGTTGATAACATCACTCCAAAATGTGGTAATTTTGTCCCANAAACTGGTAATTCCTTTCCAAAAAGTGATAATTTCACCTTAAAATGTTATAATTGTACCCAAAAGTTGATAACATCACTCCAAAATGTGGTAATTTTGTCCCAGAAGGTGGAATTACGGCCCCATAAAATGTAATTTCACCTCAAAAGTGATAAACACTCCCCAAAACAAATTGATCGTTTCCAAACATTATGGATTGATCCCAGGTAACAACAAATAGATGGACCACAAATACATATGTGTTTGCACTATTTGATTGATCTTAAATATTTTGGTATCGATCCCAAAGTTCTGATCTATCAAACAGTGAGGGTTTTTTTTTGTTTGGGATCAATCCAAATCCTTTGGGATCGGAATTAGGATGGTTCCCAAATGGTTTGATCTGTCAAATAATAAGGTTTTTTTTTATATGTTTGAGATTGATTTTTAGACATTTGGGATCGATTTCAAATGTTTGGGATCTATTAAACAATGTATGTAGAAGGGTTACACATTTTAGTGTTATGTTTACCACATTTTGGATATACTTACCATTTTTTTGGTGAAGTTATTATTTTTTGGGATCATGCTGCCTTCTTTCGAGTGTAGTTATTACTTTTTAATGTGAATTTATCAGTTTTTNTATAATTGTACCCAAAAGTTGATAACATCACTCCAAAATGTGGTAATTTTGTCCCAAAAGGTGGAATTACGGCCCCATAAAATGTAATTTCACCTCAAAAGTGATAAACACTCCCAAAACAAATTGATCGTTTCCAAACATTATGGATTGATCCCAGGTAACAACAAATAGATGGACCACAAATACATACGTGTTTGCACTATTTGATTGATCTTAAATATTTTGGTATCGATCCCAAAGTTCTGATCTATCAAACAGTGAGGCTTTTTTTTGTTTGGGATCGGAATTAGGATGGTTTGATCTATCAAATAATAAGATTTTTTTTTTATATGTTTGAGATTGATTTTTAGACATTTGGGATCGATTTCAGATGTTTGGGATCTATTAAACAATATATGTAGAAGGGTTACACATTTTAGTGTTATGTTTACCACATTTTGGATATGCTTACCATTTTTTTGGTGAAGTTATTATTTTTTGGGATCATGCTGCTGCCTTCTTTCGAGTGTAGTTATTACTTTTTAATGTGAATTTATCAGTTTTTGAGGAGGTGTTAATGCTAGTACCATTTTTTCTGGATGAAGTTGTCACTTTTTTTAGTGATATTACCAACTTTTCGGACACCCTATCACTTTTGGGGAATAAAGTTACACATTTATAAGAACCATACTACTTTTCGGTATCACCGAAAATGTGGATCCATTCAAACGTGGGAAGAAAATCACTTGACACAGTTTTTCAAAATTAAAGGGATAGTTACACGAAGAGGTCATTTAGGGCCTCTTTGGTTTGATTTTTGAAAATTATTTTTGGTTCTCAAAATTCTAAAAACAATGAAGAGTTGTTTGAATTGATTTTTTCTTCTCCATTTTTTTTTAAAAAAAAGAGGAAAGTAGAGCCTAAAAATTGAAAATAAGTTTAGCTTGTTTTCGGATGATTTGGAGACAAAAGAAAGAAAAAAAAAAAACAAGGAGAATACATTTGCTCACTGACGAGATCTTCCCTTGAATCTCCTTAACAACAAATAAGATCCTCCTATAAAATGTGTTTTTTTGCTTTTTGCCCTTTTTCTCTTTTCGAATTTCTCTGTCTACTTCAGCAAAAATCGGACGAAAGAAATGAGAACACACGCACATTTTTTCTTCCCCAGTGATTGGAGATCGTCTTCTCCGACGACTAAAAGCTCTCCAACAACTGGGTTGTTTCAAATCAGATCTCCGACAATTTGGTTGCTTCAGATCAAATCTAGACCAATTTTTTTACAAATTTAATGTATTTGGGTTAGATCCAAACATTTTTTCACTTTTTTTTTCTTTGTTAATGATTTGGGTATATTAGATTTGTGTGTGAATTTTGATTTAGGTATGTTGAATCCACTGTAATGGTGTATGCTAAGGCGAAAATTTCCTTTTTTTGTTCTTTCATCTTTGTCTCGTCTTCTCCGGCGACTGTGTGTGTGTGCATGTGTGCCGTGTGAGTGTGTGGGTGTATTTGCTGTATGAGTTGTGTGGGAGGAGATTGAGATGAGACAATGGGGAGGGAGAGAGATGGGAATAGAGATGAAATTTGGGGGGCTTTGTAGATTATTATTCAAACAGGTTTTACAATTTTTTTATTTTTAAAACTATTTTCAAAAACATATAACCGAAAAATTTTGTAATATAAAAATATACTTTCTTAAAATTTTTATCAATGAATACTATTTTTAACTAANACTATTTTCAAAAACATATAACCCATAAATTTTGTAATATAAAAATATACTTTCTTAAAATTTTTAACAAAAATTATTCTTGAATACTATTTTTAACTAAACATGCCCCCATTTTCTGAAGGAGTGAACGATTACCCTAGAGGCACTAATTGCAGAGAGAGGAACACACTTCAACACATCAAAAACTCATAGTTTGGACATTTTAGGAGGAGTACTCCTTAACGTAGTTTAGGTTAAGAATTAGTGTTACAATTAAGGTCGATTCATCAGTTATTTGTAACCGAAGTTTCCATTAAGATTAATAAAAGTGTTCTTCTTTTTATTAATCTTTATTGTGTAATCACCTAAAAGCATTTGTTAAAAGATTACACCAACCGAATTTTTTTTTGTTTTCTAGTTCCACAATAAAAGGTGTCTAATTCAATTTATACGCATTTCGATTAATGTCCTCCACAGTCTCGTTAAAGATAAATCAACCACATCAAAACTAGAGTATTCATTATGGACAAATCACTTATAACCTAATTAGGGGTGTTCAAATTTTTGATTGGTCACAATTTTATACCCTATCCGACTCTACCCTACCCTACTAAACGGCTAACAGTAAAAATCGGGTAGAAATACGGAAGAGTTTTTTGTTTTTCGATTAAATCGAGTAGGGATGCGAAATACGCATCAATTTCCGCATTCCTATCCTACCCTACCTGCAAAAAATATATTTAATTTTTTTATATTATTTTTTAATAATTATAAGAGTATTTGTGTAGTATAATTTATATTATAACATTGTTATTGTTGTAGATGTTTGAATTGCGAAAATATAAATTTGTTTTTTATATATGTTACATGATTTGTAGTGCAGTGTTGATTTATTGGAGCAATTATGATTTTAATGTGTTTCATATAGTTTAAATTTAAAATAATTGTTATTATATTTGTGTAACAATTATGATGGATTGATGTTAATATTTTTTTATGTTTTATTGTAATTGTTGTTGCAGTTGTTTTAGATTTTAGTATTATTGATTTATTATATTGTTAAATTGGTGCATGTTATTTAATTGAATTGTTAAAATGATTCAAAAATTAATAGTTACGAAAGTGTTTATCCGATTTCTTACCCAACTTCCTACCCGATTAATCGAGTAAGAAGTTGGATAGGAATACCACAACTGATCGGGTAGGGTAGACCAAGAAAAAATTATTCCGCAAAGTACCAGGTAGAAAGACGAAAGAGTATATTTCTTACTCATAGGATAGGGTGAACACCCTTAAACCTAATTCCAAAAATTAACAAGATTCGACCTAGGACGTCCGGGAAGAAAATCATTTGCTCACGAACAAACAATAGTACTAGTGGTCTCTAAGAGTATCTCTAAATTTAATCATGACTCAAAATTTTACTTAAATTTAAAATAATATTTGAATAAAAAAAACTTATTTATTACAGAGGGCTCTAACAGACATACTCAATTTTAAAGGAGGAGGAACCTAACCTAAATTTAAATAAGAACAAATTTAAATTTAAAAGAAAATAAAGATGACTAATTGATTTTTAAAAGATGATGAAATTTTATTATTAAATATTTGGTTAACGATTTGAATTTCTTTTGATTTAAGTAAAAAATTAAGTCTGTTTTGATTTTATATAAGTTTAAGTTGAAATAAATTTTTTTATATTTTCTTATTTAAATTTAAATTAAATTTAAACATCAGATTAAATTGAAACATCAGATATGATGGGATCGAGAGAGGGAGGATAAGGAAAAAAAAAATAGAAAAATGTCAGATTGGGTGATCCTCAACCAAAGCTTCTCAAGCCCATAGCCATAGGCCCCTCCTCTCCTCCTTCCAAGAGACTATTGTTGGCTTTGGTAATCTAATCGTCCTTCAACAACCAAACTGATGATTTCATTAGCATCATTATCTCTTTCCCACTCAAACCCATTGCACAATCCTTCAAGCAAACCCAATTCATTTCCACTTTCTGGGTACGTCAAAATTCTACATTTATCGCCTTCAACCACAGAAAACCCTCAAAAGAAGAGCAAGAATACCCACAAGCGTAGTCTAATCGTGGTGGCGGTCACTGAAGGTTCTGCGAAGAATTCAAGCAAGTCCAAAGAAGAAGAACAATCAACCCCTTCATGGGCTGCGCCAGATTCAGAAGAACCACCACCATGGGCTCGCGATGAAGCTCAGAAGAGTTCATCTGGCTTTGAGATTCCATTCTTTGTCTACTTACTTGCATCTGCTATCACTGCAATTGCCGCGGTAAATATCGCCAGTTTCTTCTTCCTCGAACTCTTTATCTTGTAAATAATTTTTTTGATGATACAGCAGATATGATTTTGAGTGAAGTTTGTTTATGTGTTTGTGCAGATTGGTTCTATTTTTGAGTATGTGAATCAACGGCCTGTTTTTGGAGTTCTGAATTCAGATAGTGTGTTTTATGCTCCATTGCTCGGATTCTTTGCGTTTACTGGCATCCCCACTTCTGTAAGCTGTTCATAAATTTCCTATATTGGGTTTTCTTTTTACCTTCATTTGGTTTCAGGCTATGCCTTTTCCATTAGATATTCCAGTTTTATTGTTGTTTATTTACTACTTACCCACAAAAAAAATAAATCGTGTGTATTTAGTTTTGAAGAAAATCCATCTGGTCTAGGGATATAATTTAGGGATGACAATTGGGCATATCGGTTCGTGTTGTGTCAAAATTGGCTTAATTCATATTTGACTCATTTCCAATTGTGTATATCAAATTCATGTCAAGTATAGCTACATTCATAGCAAGCGATTTATCATGCAAATCTGTTTTGACTTGAATCCGTTAATTCTAAACTCCAGGTGACTTTGCATCTACTTAGAATTGGATTGACAAACTGTGTTAAGAATTGTATTTGTTGCTCTAGCTATGGTATATGGGGTTAAATATTCCAGGATGATTCGTTTAGTCTGAGTATGCCAAAGTAGAGGAAGATGTGGGGTTATTAATGTCTACATAAAGAAAGAAAGAAAAAATAGTTTGATCCTGGATCCTGGTTTGGGCTGACCTGAATGTTAAATACAGGCATTCCTGTGGTTCAAATCAGTTCAAGCTGCCAACAAGGAGGCTGAAGAACAAGACAGGAGAGATGGCTATCGCTAGATTCATACATAAACCCTTTTCTGGGCTAATTTAAGTACCTTGTACAAACAATGTCTTGTTGAATTTGATTCTATACCATCTATTTTTCCCATATTTCTTCTTTTCTTTTCTCATTTTATTTCTCAGCTTACTAATTATACCTTTGATTGTGTATATTTACAAGGGTGAATTGCTTTTTGCTGCCATTGTTTTTCTACGTTGTGGACAACCTCCTTGGGTTTCAATAACATATACAGAGAAGTTATGGACAAAAGGGCACAGGTCACCAGGCAAAATGAAAAGATAACAATGTCCTTCATAATTTTTAGTTTCCTCTTTAATTCTCTCCCTAGAATAGATCCATCTTTCTCAGGATGCATAATTTCCAGAAAAAAATTAATAAAGCAACTTTTCCGTAGGAAAAAGTATGAAAATCTTTTGTAGGCTATATATCTCATTATTCCAATTAGAAAGGTGATTTTGGATTTAGGCCCTTACTTAAATGGCAAAATTACTGTTTGTACTCTAATCAGTGACTCCCAAGGATTTAAGTGCATAATTCTGAAACACGAGGGGTGTAATGTACAACTCAACCAACAATAGGAGGCAAAATACAGTTTGTCCTATAATTGCATTCTTTTCCATTTGCATGCTACCATGAGAAAAGATTATGATAATTTTGGTGATGGCATCACGGTTTTCATTCAAGTGAGAAATAGAAGAGACTGCGATGATCCGATTTCACCACTTCAGATGCATGTTTGATAGTTTATTATTTCCTGATTTGAAGTTTCTTAACTGTTATTCCTTGTGACCAAAACAAGGGAAAGAGGTATAGAGGGAGAAAGGGAGGGTGTTGTTTATCCCACAGCATGGTACATCATCCCAGTAATTTTACAAATAAGGTGAGTTGCCCAA